CTGGGTGAATAAGCTGCCCTTCAGGTCCATTTTAGATCTTTCTCCTCTCACCTTAAAAATACGCCCCCTAGTTTTGAAATCCCTCACCCTAGGAAAAAGACCTTGGCTAGTCACCTTACCTGTGCCCCTCATGATTTTATAAATCTCTATAAAAGGTGTCCCCTCAACCTCTTGCACTCCGGTGAAAAAGGTCCCAGTCTATCCAGCCTCTCTTCATAACTCAATCCCTCCAAGCCCAGCAACATACTGGTAAATCTTTTCCAAATCCTCTCCAATTTAATAATATCCTTCCTATAGCAGAGTGTCCAGAACTGTTCACCGTACCCCTCCTCCTTTTCAATAGATCTACATTCTTTACTGAAGGTCCTGATTCCCTTTTGATCCCACACATGGCCCTAGCATTCAGAGAACAAATATCATCAAGATATTCTGGAATAGTTGTTACCAGTAGTCCCTGGTGGACCAAAAGACCACAATACATAGAAGCAGAATTAGGCCATTCTGCCTACTGAGTCTGCTCCATCATTCCATTACAGTTGACACATTTCTCAACTCCGTTCTCCTGCCTTCTCCTCGAAACCCTTGATCTCCTTAACAATCAAGAACTTATTTCTGTCCTAAACTCATGGACTCGGCTTCCTCAGCCCTCTGAGGCAATGCGTTCCACAGATTAACCACCCTCTGGCTGAAGAAATTCCTTCTCATCTCAGTTCTAAAGGGTCATCTCTTCACTCTGAGGCTGTGCCCTCCGATCCTAGCCTGTCCTACTAGTGGAAGCATCTTCTCCATGTCCAGTCAATCTAAGCCTCTCAGTATTCAGCAAGTTTCAATCAGATTCCCCTCATCTTTCTCAACTTCATCTTGTATAGACCCAGAGTCCTCAACTGCTCATCATAAGATGACCCAGCGTAAGGTTGGACTTCATTTCATGCAGCCCTTGGTACATTCAGATCTCTCTTGTACTTAAGAAGTGTGGATTGTACAGCTTTAACTATAGATTCCATCATTGTGATTAGCCTTGAAACAATCAGTATTTCTCATTCTTGCTTCTTGTATGTTGAGTGAGGTACTGTAAGTCAAACGGAACATAATTCGAGACACCATTTTGCAATAACTGAGGAGATTGAGATACTTGAGAGTGAAGAAAGATTCCTTCATTGAGGTGAGGACTGTAAGAAAGTGATAATTTTGTTCAGAAGTTTGGCAATGACTGTAAGTAGCTATTTCATACAGAACAGCATGGTCAGCAAACAGCATCCTGTTTCTCAAACCAAAATAAATCTCAGTTACAAAGCTAACTCACAAAACATGATCAGAAACAAGGAGTGGAAGTATGCCACCTGCTGAGTGGATTAAGCAGTGTAGTTCCAGCTTCTGGTATGTAAAGAGCAGCTCAGGCTCTGTTGTGTGGAAATGTATGGAGATGAGTGGTAAAATGAAGCATTCAGGAATCTTCTAGGTCAGAGAGGATGATTTTTTTTGTATTGGTTTGTCAAATTATTGCTCATTTATTATAATATATTAGTTTTAAATTACTTAAAATTATCACGTGCATTCAAATTTATGCAGTTTCTCTACACACTCTTAAAAAATGGAAAATCAAAAATGGTGTTCTAAACTAAACTTTCAAATTTTCCTAATGAACTGAGGTTAGATTGTTCAACCAGTTTTTCTGTTTGATTCTGTCTACTTCTCAGTTTTGCACCTTTTTACACCCTTCCAACCAAGGCCAGGACTTGTGAAAATTCCCAACTAACAGCCTAATTGAAAAAACAGAGCATATCTTCACAATTGAATCAGTAAGAAAAAGACTTGTGTTCATCTTGCACTTTTCATCACTTTATTCCAAAGCTTTTCAAATGTTTCACAAACTTTTGAGTACAGTCAAATGTGACAACTCCTTGGAGAGAAGGCAGATCAGAGGAGATCTGATACATGCTTTCAAAATCACAAGAGGTCTGAATAGAGTATATAGGGAGAAACTGGTCCTGCTTCCAAAAGGGTCAGGAACAAGAGAAAACAGATTTAAAGTAATCTGCAAACATAGTAAACACGAGAGAAAAACCTGTGTCAGATGAGAGCTTTGGGTTGGGGAATGCAATGCCTGGAACTGCAGCGGAGGCATCCAAGAGAGCGTTGTATGATCTTAAACTAGAAAAGAAGTGCCAGGGTACAGAAAAAAGGTATGGCAAATGGCAGACAGTCATAATGTTCCTTGGACAGCCAGTGAAGACATGGGCTGAATGGCTTCCTCCTGTGTCTTAACAATTCTGAGATTGGTAATGACCAATTACCTTTAAACTAATTGCCTTATGAGGTCATTTCAGAGGACAATTAATAGTCTCAGTCACCAAAAGACACAACAGGGAATTCAAAAGAAAAACACTTCACCAAAAGAGTGGTGAGAATATGGAACTCACTCCCACAGGGAAGATTTGAAGTGAACATTTAAAGGGAAACGAGGTATGAAGGAGAAGGGAATAGAACATTTTGAATGGAAATTTAAATGAAGAAAAGCAGGAGCAATCTGAAGTGGAACAGCAAACCAGCAGGGATCAGTTTCTGTGCTGTATCTCAGAATACTGTGTACAATTCTGGTTGTCCTTCTATAGGAAGGACATTATTAAACTTGGGAAGGTGCAGAAAAGATTTACAAGAATGTTGCTGGGACCAAAACATTTATGCTATAGGGAAAGGCTGAATAGGCTGGGGCTATCTTCCCTGGAGCATCAGAGACTGAGGGGTGACCTTATAGAAGTTTATA